CTGATACATCGGCCCTTGGCTGGCCCTTGGCTGGCTCTTAAGATGAGAGAGATATAGCTCAGCTCAGTCGGGGATCTCTCAGCATTTCCGGTGGTGATTCGGTCCCTGAGCAAGGACCAATTGGCTCCCCAAGCTTGTCCGCAATCCGGCCGAACCCAATCCCCGGTCGGTGCAGGGGTAGGAGTACCTTAGCAGTGACAGTTGCCTACTCAGTCGTGTTCCACGATGAATGACACATTGAGAGCTGTCCGCGTCACGTTCACACTCGTTCCCTTCTATTCACAAGCAACGACTCTTGAGAATGTCATGATGTTGATCTTTCGCCTCTTAAGGCCTTGATGACACGTGACCGACCTCGGGATGAGGCTTGACCGAGGCTGACTGCCAAATGCGGGGATGGCCAACCCAGCTCGGATATACCGCTTATACCTCCTTGCGCAACAGCCCCTTGTATCTCACATACCATTGACTTTATTCGAAACCATAGAAGTTGTTTCTTCAAATCAATACCAAGACAACGTCAAAATGTCGCAGCTGTCTTCTAATCCAATCCCATTTTCGGAGCCGCCATATCTCTGCGGGCTTCCTTCGCCCTACTACTCGCCGGGCCATCGTCGCTTTCAGAAAGCGTGTCGCGAATTTTTCTGGGAGCATTTACACAGTCATGCGGCAGAGTATGAGAAGGCCGGACAGGTTCCCGAGCATGTCTTCCACACTTTTTGCAAGCATAACATGCTTCTCCCGAACATCGGCGCGCCCTTGCCAGTGGAATGGCTGAAGCGCTTGGGAATTGCCGACATCCTGGGAGTCAAGGTGGAGGACTGGGACTATATGTACACGGGAATTTATTTTGACGAGGTAGGTATCCCTGGTGAACGACAGGGCACAACTGACAGCTTCAGATGGCACGATCCGGTATGGCTGGGCCGGGTTCATCCCTGAACGCCGGATTCAACTTTGCGATTCCGCCTGTCCTGAAGTATGGCAGCCGGGAGCTGCAGGAACGCTTTCTCCCGGATCTTTTGACTGGTCGCAAACGCTGCTGTATCGCTATCACGGAGCCAGAGGCAGGCAGCGATGTTGCCAACATCACCACGACAGCGACCAAGACACCAGACGGCAAGTATTACCTGGTCAATGGCGCGAAGAAGTGGATCACCAACGGGATCTGGTCTGACTTTGCGACCATGGCCGTTCGCACCGGTGGTCCGGGAGCGTCTGGCCTTTCTCTTCTGCTCGTTCCATTGAAGGGGCACCCCGGCGTCACGATGCGCCCGCTCAAGGTCACCGGCCCGATCACTAGTGGAACCACCTACATTGAATTGGACGATGTCAAGGTGCCTGTGGAGAATTTAGTCGGCCGAGAGGGGGACGGCATGCGAATGATCATGACGAACTTCAACCACGAACGCCTTTCGATCGCGGTCGGCGTCACGCGACAGGCTCGTGTGGCCCTGTCCACCGCCTTCCAATACTGCCTGAAACGAGAGGCCTTTGGCAAAACACTCATGGACCAACCCGTTGTTCGAAACCGCCTCGCTAGGGCGGGCGCTGAGTTGGAAACGCTGGGGGCCTTTGTTGAGCAGCTCCTCTACCAACTGTGTCATCTTTCCAAGGAAGAGGGGGATCGCAGGCTGGGTGGGATCACTGCCCTCGCCAAGGCCAAGGCGGGAATGGTGCTGAACGAGTGTGCACAGTGTGCGATTCTCCTATTTGGTGGAGCCGGGTTGACCCAAGGCGGACAGGGCGAGCTGGTCGAGTCGATTCTCCGGGAGGTGCCAGCTGCCCGGATCCCGGGTGGTAGTGAGGATGTTTTGCTTGACCTGGCCGTGCGACAGTTGGTGAAGGTCTATCAAACGGGGCAGAGGAAGTTGAATCAGTCGAAGATGTAGTTGGATTGGATGAACCTGGTGATCAAAGGTGTACACTAGTCAGTGACATTTCAGATGTGAATAGCACTTGTCGCGCATAACCTTACTGTCATCCATTCCACGTACTGCGGGATCTTATCAGGGGCTCAGGTATCTTCTGATGCCGTGATTTGCTGAACAGGTTGCACGGGACTCCACTGAGCTGCACTACAAGTGCAAATCCCAGTGCTATCGCTGGGGCTGCGTGTCCGACCGGCAGTTGTATCAGCTATGCAGATTAACCTTCTGGTAACCGGCAACTGCAGCACGCGTACTAATGGCAGCCACGCCGCTTCCCTGACTCGTCACACGCGTCACTTATCATCGGCCGATCCGACTTCTTATCAGCACCAAGAATGGAAGCCGCTTCAAATAACGGTCTCTGGCCGAAACCTCGACAGGCCATTCAACACGCACAATGGGTCTGAAGCAGCGGCTACAAGTGAAACATGGAGACCTGGTCTCGGGGGTCGACTCCAATGCAGATCTGGACCCCATTCCACGGAATTCGCCCCGGCGGACCTGGGGGTGGGTCAGCTTGACTGGATTTTGGATTTCTGAAGCTTTCTCCATCAGCATGTATCAGGGTAAGTCTCCTCTGCACAGAATTGAATTCATCTAATCGGTTAGTCACGTCTACCTCGGTGTCGAAAGGGCTGAACGCGGGTCTGGCGATCGCGGCAGTGGTCATCGGCCACATGCTCGTGTACATTCCAGTGGTGCTTGATGGGTTGGTTCCCAGAAGACCATCACAGCAGACAATCATAGAGAACTGTCTAACTGAAACAGATACGTGGGTTCAATTTACGGCATCAACTTTCCTATCCTCACCCGTGCCAGCTACGGCATGCGAGGGAGTTATTTTGCCGTCCTGAGTAAGCCTTCCTCAATTTGTCGACCGAATGTGACTGATCAGAACAAGTCCGCGGGCTCGTCGCCATCATCTGGTTCGGCACTCAGACGTACCAAACCGGAGAATGCATCTCGTCGATGATAAGTGCCATCTGGCCATCGTTCGAGCACCTCCCCAACCACCTTCCCAGTTCAGGGCCTATAACATCTGCTCGGCTGCTCTGCTTCTTCCTGGCCATTATCGTCCAACTCCCACTTTTATACCTGAACATTCCTCAGCTCCGCTACCTCTTTCTCGTCAAGATGGTTATTATGCCCATCTTCGGCCTCACTTTGTTCATCTGGGCTGTGGCGACAGCTCACGGCTTCGGTCCCGTCTTCTCCAAACCCAGCCAGATCACCGACGGGACCCCGGTGGCCGTGGTCTTTCTGCAATGTGTGACCAGCGCCATCGGGCCAAAAGCCACTCTTGCTCTGAATATGCCTGACTTTACGCGCTACGCGCACTCGCCTCGGCAAATTATCTGGACGCAGGCGTTGGGTTTGATCGTGCTCGTTTCTCTTTGTGGTGTCCTCGGTGCAACAGTCACCTCCGCCAGCGAGATCATCTATGGGGTGCAGACATGGAACCCGCTCCAGGTGGCTGCATTATGGAATAACCGTGCCGCGCAGTTCTTTGCTGCGCTGTGCTGGTCGCTGGCAGCCATAGGGACGAATCTATCTGCGAATAGTGTATCTTTCTCGAATGATCTAACGCTCTGGTTTCCTCGGTACATCAACGCAAGACGGGGTGCGTATGTGTGCGCGGTGCTCAGCATTCTGAGCTGCCCATGGTACATCCAGAATGAGTATGGATTCATTCCCATTAGAACCGCAAATACTAACTTCTATCCCAGCGCCGCATCCTTTTCCTCCTTCCTAGGCGGTTACTCTCTCTTCCTCGGGTCTCTGGCCGGCATCATTATAGTGGACTACTGGATCATCCGGAAACGACAGCTGCGCGTTCACTCACTCTACGACCCCCGGGGTACGCACTTTTTCACGTGGGGATTCAACCTGCGCGCATTCGCAGCATTTATCTGCGGGATCGCACCGAATCTGCCTGGTTTGGCGAATGCATGTGGACAGAGTGGCGTACCGGTCGGCGCAGTGTATCTGTATTCGCTCAGTTGGCTAGTGAGTATTCTCGTGTCAGGGGGAGTGTACTGGCTGCTTTGCAAAATCTGGCCGGTAGCAGTGGATGACGACGAGGGAGGTATCTGGGAGGCAGTAGAGGTTACTACCAAGGAACTAGAGAATTCCACCCAATGAACAGAATATCACACTAGTTAGATTATTATTCCAATGCAGCTACTTTAACTACCAACAGAACGGATTGCTATCAAAGATACTCCTGCCCCCTCGCCAACCTGGCCACCCTCGAACTCGCATACGCACCCTTCTTCGCCGTCTTCACTCCCATCCTCACCAACCCAACAAGATGCTGCACCCCGGCTACAACCCCATCAACAACCTGTACCTCCCCATCACCTCCCACAGACTTCTCAACAGCCCCCTTCAACTTCATCATCCCCGCACACCCAAGGACAATAACATCCGCACCAGCAATATTCACCAATCTTGTCGCAGCAGAACACATCGCCTCAACCACATCCTTCCCACCATTCCCCTTACCATCAGCACCATCCAACTCCAAAACCCCCATCCCACAAGCCTCCACCCCCGCACAGAACCCATCCAATCCAAACTTCCTCACCGCATCGCGATGAATAACCTTGGACCTCTCCGACGTAACCACCACGCCGAACCTCCCTCCCACAGTTCTCGCAGCCATCAAGCCGGCCTCCATGATCCCAATCACCGGGGCCGATAACTCTTCCCGCAGGGCATAAACAAGCGGATGGTCACTGAAACATGCCACCAGGAAAGCATCATACTGATCTGCTATGGGCAGGATAGCCCTTGCGGCGGCAGCAGCTGAAAGGACAGCATCAAGCGAGCCCTCAATTGCTGATGGCGCTGGGACGGGAGCCGTGAAAGGGACCACTTCAACATCTGGTGGAAGGGTCGGTTTCACCATAGCAATGCACGTCTCAGTCATCGAGGGTGTGGAGTTGGGGTTAATCAGCAGGACCTTTATCTTCCCCTTCTTCTCCGATTGTGCCTTCATCTCTGGAACAGTCCTATCCTCGACCGTAGACAAAGGGGGCTCCACTAGCCCCGTCTGCCCCGTAATCCTCCCATAATGCTCGACCCTGCGATGTCTCCCGAAATCAAAAGTGCGCGTCTTGCCCGCGCGACAAAGTCCCAAATCACAGTCCGCAATGATAATCTCATCGCCCTTCGTCTTCGCCTCAGCAATAATCCTCCCCTCAGGGTCAACAATACCCGACCCCGCGATGAGGGGATACTCCCCGTCATCAAGTCCACAACGTGCAGCACTAACCGAGAAACACGCATTCGTGTAACTATGGCACTGCATAACCAATTTATGATGAAACAGGGACAACTCCTCCGCCTCCTGGGGACTCATATCCGCCGACTGGCCCCAGAATTGCGGAGCGAAGCCATTGGTATTATACCCGCAGGCGACGATCTCCACGCCTTGCAGGCCGTATTCGCGCCACGATTCTGCCCAGCGGCGGTCATTGCAGATCATCATCCCCAGGATTGGATCTACAACATCCTTTTCACCTGCTTGATGGTGGGATAGTGATGGAGAGAGGAGCCCAGGCACACGAAACGCCTGAAATCCCAAATCTCCCGGTTTGAAATACCGCTTCTCGAGCTGGTTCACGGCCTTCGGATCCGGAAGGGGCTCCACGTCACCGGGGAGGTGGACCTTGCGGTATTTAGATAGGATAGACCCCGTCGCGGCGTGATAGTAAACGCAGCTGTTGAAGTGGTCGCCTGTGTCGGTAGCTTCCGCGAAGCCGACGATGATATCCACTGCTAGGTCGTGAGCGGTATCGAAGAGAGCTTTTGTGCGCGGCGCAGTGAGGATATCGCCGTGCTCGAACCAGTCTTCCAGCTCGGCTTCATCGAGAATCAGATACCGAGGGAAGAACGTCGTGAAGGCGATTTCCGGGAAGAGGACGAGTTTAGCACCTTGAGTAGCGGCGTCTTTGAGGAGGGTGATCATTCGATTTAGTGTTTCTTCGCGCGAGGACCATTTGTTGGTCGTGCCCATTTGGGCGGCGGCGAGGCGGACGGTGCGAGGCATTGTGTGGTGTAGTGGTATCCTGGTGAGGGGGGCAGGAGTTGAGGGGTAAGTTGGGGATGCTGTATCCTCGGTATCTGGTAAATAGTAACTGCAGATATACTTCTTGGTTTGTCCGGATATATTTCCGCGTGGTCGTTGTTGAGCTGGCCTGATTAGGCAGGTCGGGGTAGACCCTATCGCTATCTTAGAGTCGATCTTATCGTCGGCCGATCCGAAGTTCACCATTACTAGTGCTCGCAGAAAGCAGGTGATAACGATAGTGATTTATTATTATCGTGGGTCTCTCTATGGTGCTCGCAAAGCTGGAACAGCAGAATACAACACTCATCGGAATGAAGGCTACCCCAGGAATCGACTTGATTATCATCAACGCTACAGTGGTACGTGCCATGCTACTCCGTACCATACAGATGGATCATCCTCACAGCAGCAGGCCACCGCCTCCGATGTAGTTCCCAATCAAGATATCGCCATCTCCGACGGCAAGATCGTCCTTCTGGGACAGAATCTCCCGGCACTCTTCCATAGCGCAGCAACGCTCGATGCAGAAGGCGCATACGTGACGCCAGGTGGTGTCGACAGCCATGTGCATCTGCAGCAGGACAACTCTCCGACCGGTGATACCTGGGAGTCAGGGACTCGCTCGGCCATCGCAGGAGGGACAACCACGGTCCTAGCCTTTGCCAGTCAGAAACGCACCGATGAGTCTCTCTTTCCTGTCGTTGAGGAATATCACCGAAGGGCCAGCGGCCAGGCTTACTGCGACTACGGCTTCCATCTCATCCTGACCAACCCAACTCCAACCGTCCTCGATAAGGAGCTCCCAGTGCTAGTCAGCAGTGGCATCAGCTCTGTAAAGCTGTACATGACATATCAGCCGATGCGGCTGGGAGATGGCGAGATTCTGGATGTCATGGAGTCCACCCGCCGGCTGGGGATGACGACGATGGTGCACGCCGAGAATCATGAGATGATCCAGTGGATGACGGAGAAATTGGAGGCACGCCGCCGTACTGAGCCATATGGTCATGCTCTGGCGCGTCCTAATATTGCAGAAGATGAGGCGACATATCGTGTTATTTCTCTGTCTGAGCTGGCTGATGTTCCCATCTTGATCGTGCACATGTCGTCCAAGCTGGCTGCGGCACATGTGCGAGCGGCCCAGACACGGCTGCTGCCGGTCCACGCGGAAACCTGCCCACACTATCTGTTCTTCACGAGCGAGCGCCTAAAAGATGAAAACTTTGAAGGAGCCAAATGTGTATGCTCGCCAGCGTTGCGAGAGGATCCGATGGACCTGGAGGCGATGTGGGCGGGACTGGCGAATTCGACCTTCACGACAGTCTCAAGCGACCACGCACCATCCAAGTAAGTCGCCCGCTGCTGTTTTGTTCACTGCTGACGAGGTAGATTTGATCATCCTCTCGGCAAGAAGAAGGGCACATCCAGCTTCACTCAGATCCCCAATGGCTTGCCCGGGTTGGAAACTCGACTACCCACGATGTTCTGCGGCGGTGTGCTCACCGGTCGCATCTCGATCCAGAAGTTCGTCGAACTGACGAGCTCAAACCCAGCCAAGCTGTACGGACTTGGGAGTACCAAGGGGACAATCCAGCCCGGTTTCGACGCGGATCTGACGATCTGGTATCCCACGCCAGAGCAAGCTGCCTCTCACGGCACGTCTATCATGACACCGTTCCAGCTGTCCAACGACATGCTGCACCATGACATCGACTACACGCCGTTTGAGGGATTGGAGTTCACCAACTGGCCTCGGTACACGATCCTCCGCGGACAGACCGTGTGGAACCGCGACGCTGGGGGCATCACCGGCAGCAAGGGAGACGGAGCTTTCCTGAAGAGAGGGCCGAGCACATTGAGCAAGCCGCGGAATGTGTTTGTCAATGAGTTTAATCCGTACTCTAGTTAGTAGCAATAGACACAGCAAGGAAACCAACATGATTCATGAAGACAAATGATCGATTGGCATGATAATGACCAAAATAATATAGACAGTAGTATAAAAAGAATTCACCCAAGTGCGGTCGATCCAGGTATAATCCCAATCACAGCGCCTTGCACATAAGAAAATCAAAGGAAAGCCATCATCACGATACTAACAACCACAACAACAACATTCGGCGGCTTCGAGGCAGCACTCGCACCATTCCTCGCAGAGGAAGCAGCAGCACATTGTGATGAGACAGGTGGTCAGGCAACCACGGTCTTTGGAGGGTTCTTGTTGGGGAGGCGCATATTGCATGGGCTGGGGAGGTGGGTACTGGCCACCAGGAGGAGGGTAGCTATGAAACAGAGCGTTAGTGTTGGAGCTCGGACAGAATGATCCATACTGTTCAGGGGGTACGTACTATCCCTGGGGAGGCGGTTGCTGCTGGTAGGACATGGCTCTGGCTCTATTTGGTTCTAGAGTCTGATGGGAGAAGGTATTGTATGGGGTCACACAAAGGTGGCCAGTGGACCAGCGGGGAGCTCAGGAGTTATATAGCCGGAATCCACGGAACCCGCTCAGGGCGCCAGACAGGCAGACGCATTGCTGGCTCAATTCAGTCAGCCCTGCGGACAGACACCAGTCGAGCTGGCGGATCTTGGCCCTGCAAATTTTGCTGGGATGCGATCCACCGCCGAGGGTGCGATTGGACGTGCGGTCAGATGAAAGTGAATCAGCCATCGAGAAGGAGCATGGAAGATCCCCGTGCCGAGCCCAAAGTATTGGCTTGGGAGGAAGACAACATTGGCACTAAGAATAGATACATATTGAACCAGGTCAGGTAACACAACACCATGGGAACTGCCAGTTCGGGCGGGTGCATCCGCAACCTACCACAACAGCAGCAACAACAACAACCACGATAATACTTAAGTGATGGTGGCGCCAAGCACACCCTGCCCCGTCGGGCGGGAAAGTGGATCACCAGTCAGGTCGGACTTGCCTGCCATTTCACTGACTCTCACTCATTCAGGAGAACCGAGCCAAGCCGCCAAGAGTTCCGGCAGGGATGATGGGGAGACGCTGACTGGCCATTCCTCCAGCGTGAAATTGCGCTCTCCCCAAAGCTGTAGCGCCAAGGCCTGGAAGCGCCCCTTAAGGCTGGCGGGACCCACCCAAGCTTCACCCGTCACCCAATCACCCCGCACCACCATCATCCCCCCCGGGTCTTGGAGCCCTCCTCGGCTCTGGAAGAACGCTGTTGCCTACGCCATCATCGTGGCTGGTGTGAAATGCATGTGAGGCTGGTTATGCATGACAATGATTTATTTATGTCCATATCTGCTGCAAGGGGGGAAACAGATTCCACGTTCATTCTACGACTCTCAGCTTATATACTATGGCTTGTTAAGTCCACAACATTGATCATGTCTCCTACTCTCCTCGATCAATATCCAAAAAGATAACGTAGTAAACCTTTGTTTTATTCAGAGGCTCATATTAGCCCGAGAGGGGTTAATGAGACCCATTGCAGTGCAGTTTCAGTATGGTATCAGATATTTGTAGACGTTCAGTATACATAATCACCAATTAATCATAAGTAGTGCTGTCTATCAAACACAATGTACGTAATATTGTAAACAGAACAAGATTACCTACTGCAGTTACTTGATAGTATGGAACGCTTCATCAAACATTCATAGTCTTCTTGATATGATTATGGACCTAATCTAGGACTATTAGATCTTTTCTACTATTCCTACAATCCAAACACTTGGGAATATTCCCGGTGGAAACTCGATCCAACAGTGCTTGCATGAAGCTTACGTGTAAAATCGTATTGATCGACCTCGTAGTCTCTTTGTCAAACTCATAACTCTTCATATATATCACGTATGATATCTTATGGAACATTTCTTATCTATAATGAAGAGAATAGCCGACGGATTTACAACCCCACCAACGTATCAATCCAAAATATCGCATGCTGCCCCTCCCCCTTGACATTCAAATCATCATCGCCATTCCGAAAGACCGCATCCGGCGCCCCCTCAAACCACAAATGATATCCAGGTCCATCATCGGGATAAATATTATCTCCTCGCGGCGTGATGATATACCTGCCTTCCTCCTTTGGCCACTCCTCAAACCAGAGATCTGTGCCCTCATCATCAAGTCCAATCCAACTAGCGATACCCGGGTAGTCAGCATATGGTAAAGATTTGGAAAGATTGGGTACTACATACTGCCCCTTCAGCGCCAAATACTTGCCCGTCTCGGTCTCCTTGAACCGGAATCCATTGTCACCTTGCTCAACGTAGAACCGGTCACCCTGTAGTGCCTCCGTGGCATTCGCGTATAGTGCGCCGGAGGAATCGTAATGCTCGACGTTCTTGCGAGAATCGTTCAGGAGCTGGTCGTAGCCGGTGATGTTACCCTCGTCGTCACGCTGGAAGGGCAAACTGCGTCGGAAACTGCGAAGGTTGACGGTTCTGCCCGGTGCGAATTTAGGGTGGTGAGTGCGATAAGTGCGGCCCATTGTGATTTTGTATGTGCGGGTAAATCAGAGTATACTGGTTGCAGTGGTGGTATTTTGCTAGTTGCTGTCTGGTAGAATGACTTAACCTCCTGGATTGAAGAGAGACGTGGTTTATATGCTTATCCTGAGGATCTTTTGTACTTGATCGTCAGCGAGGTTGATATCATCATGATCATGAACATGTGTTCATCTGCAATGAATGCGATGAACTGTCTGTGGGCCTGATCTTGTTAAGTTCGTGATGGCGACCCGATCACTTCCAGAAATAGTAATTCGTGAAGACATCACCAAGTAGGGTGGAGACTTCGTGCATCCCTAGCGCATTTCACGAGATGATCTATATCCAACTATTGTGTTCTCTGACGATATTGTTTTCTAAATAGTATGTCATGCTGATGCTACACGCAGATATCAGGAGGACATTGCCTTAACCTAGGGCTGTCTTGTTAAGAACTATGAATATCGCAGAAGGGAATACCAGCACTGTCCCTACAAAACACCCCCCGGGGTAGTTTCTGGTTAGATCATGAAGCCGGATGACCACATAGAAATGGCGCCTGGTAGTCATCTGGCTGCCAGATCTAGAATTATCTCTGCGCTGTAGTGACCGGCGATCATGTGTCGCTGCATACGTCTTCATATCAATTAGTATATCACTACCTATTTAGTAGCTAATTAAGAAGCTCAACAGGAAGATTGCTCGGTATTACCGCCTCCAGCAAATTGACTCGCATGATGGTTGAGCCCCACAGAACTACTCTCCCTTCATTTGCTACATTCTGCTCAGCACATTAGCTGAAGAACAAGAGGGATACTAAAGGGAGTGGCCTCAGTCAATCACCATTTTCTCGAATTTTGAAAAGTTAAAAGAATCGCAGTGGTGGTGAACACTGGAGCGCTTGACATTTCGATACGTCACTATGATGAGCATCCACTTAGGTTAGTGGAGCCCCACCGACTCAAGAGTAAGGTTTTATCGATCTTTGATCATTTCTATATTGATCTTCAGTAATTATTACTAAGACCCTATTGCGTATATAAAGCATAAATCTTCATGAGGGTTTTTTTAAACATGACTTTTTAAATATCATAGGCCGGATTTTATGTCAGTTACATATTCAGTCACCAGTACCGGATCAGGCAGTTTTAAGGCTACCAGGCGACGACCCCATGAAACAATCAACTACAAACAACAACGCATCAGAAAAAAATGGAATAGAAAGTAATACAAAAGACATGAGATGCAGAAGACAAGAGATTCATTTTCGGATGCGTGCTGCTTTAATATCTTGAGAAGGTCACTCAATCTTAAAAGCAGGTTAACGTGCCATGTCTATCTTTCTTTCATCTTTGTAATATGTAACATACTTCCATATGATATCCTGTACTTCCCAGTCTGTCATGATCTATGGGTCTATCAGACGCAATGAAGATTACTGTGACGAGCATATGATATTCAGACAAATTCTGCCAAGTTATTCGCGGTTGCAGCGCAGACTCTGCAGCAACAGCGAACCTATAGGATAATACTTTAGTAGCAGATGCTGACATGATCTTTACCCAAATTTTCTTGTGAGAGCGGGAAAATATGGATTCAGTAATGCCGGCAAGTAAATCTATGACTGCCATTCCAAATTTCATACAGCACCTGTAGTAGCGAGAGCAGAACCATGGGCTTGAACTGGATTTATGCAAATGAACGGTTGCCACATTTCCCTCCATGTTCATGGCCCTTAAGGAGTCCAACCAGATCTTGGTTATGATAGCGTGGGCACTCAGGTTTCTGGCAGGCTCCCTACTTCATTGCTCTTGCTGGGGAGCTTTTTCAGCCGTTTGTAGGCAACGGACAATTACATGCGGTGCAACTATCGAGGCTCGCTCCGAGCCCTTGTGCGATGGCGATGAAAGCTCACCACGTGGGCGGGAAACCTCAGTCCCACAGATGATGTATGTGGGGTGGTAAAGATGATCCATGTCCGGCCACCTTTCAGACTGTCGAGTATGCCGCTTCTATTATCGTACGCATTCTCGCTTTGAGGGAATGCAATGGCGAGGATTTGTATATGAGGCCGGAGATATCTATGTTATATGGAGTCGTTGAACTAGGCTACTGACAATATCCTTCCTTCTGCGCCAGATGGTAAGTCACATCTGCGATGGTATTTCTTCCACATAAGCCCCTTTCTTCGACTCTCTCATGATCAGCTGCTCAATAATCCACTGATACGGTTTACTCGAGCTTCTGCTTTCAAATAACCTAATTTAAATTCGACTACTGCGAAGAACAGGAGTTCATAAGAAACCATGGTTGGTTCTGTCGCGCTAATCAGCTCGACATCGCGTAGTGGAGCCCTGCCGGATGACGTGTCAACCAACCAAGTACAAAGTAATGCACAGGCGCTTATCAGAGGGTCTGCGGGGTTGGTTAGTTCGCCAACTATCCAACAAGTGATCATAAAATTTTCAACAATTTTGCACCGGGGTATCCCAATCACAACCATACCTTGACGCCGTCTCGACGTATTCCTAAAGTTATATTAAACATCCTATCCTGCTCGGAGGGCGACGCGATGTCCACGGTCGACAGCCCCTTGCTAGGGCACAGGCCTCAGCACGAGCCTCAAGGGGATGAGCATCCACTGTACCACGGTAAACGACGGGAGGCTTCCGGCTCCAATATTATCAAGGTTCTAGCTGTCTTCTGGACGTTCTTGATCATGGGAGCGGTCGATGCAGCATATGGGGTAAGGAACTGTAGAGAAGAACAGACCTGCCAGTATTGAAACTAACCCTCGACCAGCCTTTGATTCCGTACGTAAGTGCAATCTCACCATCCTGTTGTAAATAGGCTGTTGAGTAGAAAGCTTGAGAAATACTACAACATCTCCCACGCCACCGTTTCGCTTTTATTCCTTTCCCCCGTTTGTGGCTACACGCTTGCCGCACTGCTGAACAGCGAAATCCACGTTCAGGTGGGCCGTCGTGGCATTGCTTTCATTTCGGCGATCTGCCACTTTCTAACGTTTAGCATTGTTGCCCTGCATCCTCGATACCCTATTGTTGTGGTATCTTTTGCGCTGTCTGGGTTCGGAACCGGGCTAGCAGACTCGGGATGGAACGCTTGGATAAGCAGCCTGCCTCGCTCGAACGAACTACTGGGGATGCTGCATGGCTTGTATGGACTGGGAGCTGTGCTAAGCCCATTGATTGTGTCTGGACTGGTAACTAGGGCTAAAGTTCCATGGTTTTATTTCTACACTATCATGGTACCGCATCTCTGATATCCATGCCCCCTCAGTTGCTCATGTATGATCTAGGCTGCGTGCGCTACTTTTGAAGTAGTTGTCTGCACAATCGCCTTTTGGGGGGATAGACCGGTTACCCGAGAGGAGGGGGATGATCACCATGAGAGTGAACATGGTAGCCTGAAACATGCTCTTTTCCAACAGCCATATGCTCGGGTGACTTGGATCTGCGCTCTCTTCCTGCTTATTTACGTTGGGATTGAAGTCGCTTTGGGTGGATGGACGGTGGTTTTCATGATGCAGGTACGCCATGGTAGCCCGTTTGCCAGCGGCATGGCTGTTACGGGATTCTGGCTGGGTATCACCTGTGGCCGCATATTTCTCGGATTCGTTACACCGATGATGGGCGAAGAACCGGCAGTTACAGTATGTCACCTTTCTCTCCTTTCCCATAATTCCTTTCTTTTTCTCATTCTTCACCTTGGTCAATGCCGCCTAAAGAACTTGATACTTACTTCCCGTAGCTATATTCTGTGCTGGCGATAATTTTCGGCTTCATCTACTGGCTCGTGCCGAATTTCAACGTCTCGGCAGTCGCAGTATCGCTACAAGGCTTCTTCCTAGGTCCTCTGTTCCCGGTCCTTATCGCAGTGGCCACCAAGTTGCTTCCACAATCTCTGCACGTGAGCTCGATCGGCTTTGCCTCGGCGATCGGAGGGGCTGGAGCTGCACTGATGCCATCTGCAATCGGTGCAGTTGCAGAAGCGAAAGGAGTTCAGATTCTGCAGCCCTTCATTCTGGGGCTTTCAGGTGTGGCGCTGGTGTTGTGGATGTCTTTGTGGTGGATTTCGAAAGAGAATTCAAGGACGTCGAGGTAGAAAATTCAGCCAGTTCGATAGAGAAGCGCTCTGCTATCGCACATGATCGAGCAACTTCCGAGACGATGCCGAGAAGCAATAACACCAAGTGGATTGTACACTGAAACAGTGACCACTCATTCACTCTTGACATGACTGAGGTCTCTGGGTATCTATTATCTGTTCGATAAAACCGGTCGTGAAGAGAATAGAAAAAGAAGAAAAAAAAGAAAATTACATACAACAGAAGGGATTCGCTGGTGGTCACCCACCCAACTACTAACCTCCCGGCGTGTGGCTTGAGTACGGCTGAGCGGACGGGAAGCCCTATTTTCCACACCCTGTGGTCGTATGTGCTTGATAACAAGAAAGCAAGATCTATATGCAGTCACTGTCAGGGTTGATGAGGTAGATGTCATGAGAACCCGAACCCCTTCATTCGCGGTTTCGCAGACTGCTCCACATCAGGCTCGGTGCTCGATCCCGATCAACAACCATCAACGCATGCCCGTCTTTCACGGAAGGTTCTCGCTCAGAAATAGTTCGTAGATCGAAATTATCAATCATAGAGCGACAAATTAGGATCATGTGTAAAACGAATCTACTATAAACGGCTAGAGCCATTCTCTGATTGGTTCCGGAAAGCTTCGGGCATGTGACTTGGGAGCAACGCCTTCCCGCCAGGAATCCCCGCTTCCGCTAATTATCCCCATATTCTTCCCCTCACCAAGTTTCTTCTCTGTCCATTGATCCAATGGTCTGCGACATTTCGGCTCTTTCATAATGGGCAGTGTCTCATGCCCCCTTCACGATGAATACCCCACCTCCTCGTCGACCTGGTCGCCAGAAACGACCGCGAGTTCCTGATGCGCTCCGCAAGAGAGCCGCCCGCGCGTATGCTTTCCCCTCCCAACCAAGCTACAAAAACAGCCATTGACACTTGTTGAATCGTTAGATGCCTGCCTTGTCGCCAACACAAGGAAAAATGTACTTTCACCGTCACACTCTGTTGCACCCGCGTTTCCTCCACGTCCTTCGACTGATCAAGGGCTCGCTTTAGGCCATGGTGGCGGCCCGCCCTGCGCTCGCTGCCAGCAACACAACCGCACCTGTCACTTCGAAGATGCTCGACCAAAGCCGTCGGCTATGCTTGCAGCGCCGTCACAACGTGAAATTCAAATGGAACGCATTATACGTCACTTCCTGGGCGATGACATCTCGCTCGACCCTGCTCGGCTAGAGGAGACTGCCGACTTGCTGGAAAACGGCCGGTATCGCGGGACTCTTCCAGAGACGCGAGGAAAGGGGGATGAGGACCAGACATCGGAGAGCTATTCGCTGGAGCCATTGTCAACCAACACCATGCGTATGTCTAGGGAAATGTTCAAAAAAGTGCAACTGTTAACTGGCCTTGCACCAGACTATTCAGGTGAACTGTCACATTGGAATTTCTCCAAGATGATCCGTCGACGTCTACAGAGCTTGGGTACTCCTAAAGGACAGAATGATGCATGCGCTCCTTTTCTTGCTTTCAGCCATTGCACCGCTGACGGATCGATTAGGGGTTAAATCCCTCGGATGGATTCTTTCGCGCTACCGGCCTCCAGTCGGCCAGTTCGTGTGTCGCCTCCGCTATAGAATACTTCCCACCTCGTCCTGTTGCTGAATTCCTCACCAACACATTTCTCGAGTATGCACAGACAAATTACTTCTATTTTCCTGAAATTGTCTTTCGGGAGAAGATGGATTACTATTACTCTGTCGACCGACCACTGGTGATCGATGATGCGGGTTGCATCTGCACACTGTTGATGACTTTCGCCATTGGCACTCAATTTGCATATATGCAAACTTCCTCGACTGAGAAGCCTCCTTTTTCGGAAGACATTCCTGATGATCGCATTGGAATGGATCTATATCGGTTCTCGTGTCGCTTGATCCCTGATCTCATCACCACCGCCTCGCTTGAGACTGTGCAGGCCTTTCTATTATTGGGCGTGTATACGTTGCCGATTGATACCGCAGGGTTGGCCTATACGTACTACGGCCTGGCAATTAAAATGGCCATTCAAAACGGAATGCACCGAAAGCATATTTCACCAACGATTCCACAAGTGATAGTGGAATGGCGGAACCGTTTGTGGTGGACAGCGTACACCCTTGAAAGGTGAGGCACTAGCCTACGTCGTGTGAACTGGGCTAATAGTGGCCAAGCCGCATCAGCATTCTTCATGGACGTCCTGTATCTGTCTCTCCCTCAGAAACAGACGCCGATATGCCCGCCGACCTGGCTGAGCTACACCCGCCAAGCGGTATCTCGAATTTACCAAATGTTACGGCAGCCATCCTCTTGACCAAAAAGCTTGAGAAAGTGGCACAGGTTATCCTCCGACTGCGACGATGTCCACGTAGTCATCAAGACACCTATCTTCACCAATTATACAACCTGAGGGCGGACCTGAGCAAGTGGTGGGATTCACTTCCAAATACGGTGCACTGCCGCGACCTAGACCCTGCCGGGCCCTTATTTCGATGCAATGTGCATCTTGAACTACATTACGCTACTGCATTAATATACATGGGCCGACCTTTTATCTTCCTACAAAAGGCTGCGGGTAGTGTTGGGTACGGATCAGAAACGGAGGGTAGTCGTGCAGAGTCAATCGAGAAGTTCTCCCGAAACTGCACACAAGCAGCCATAAGAATCATTGACCTCTGTCAGCTGCTGCATGACTCGGTCGGACTTGCACGCGTGTCATACACAGAGTTCAGCTCTTGCCGTACCGCTCTGCTGGCTTTGATTGCGCAGCTCCTGACCGGGTCGTCGGAACCGATAGGTGGCGCTCTAACGCGAGGCATGGGCCTGATCCGCCAGATCTGTGTAGGACTGGAGTCTGCTCGGTCGGAGGTTGCAGTAATCGAAGCGCTTGAGCGTGCTCGACAGCAGCTGGATCACGGCGAACGAAGCCCCTCGGGAGAAGCGCCTGAGACAGGTTATGATCAATTCCAAAAATGGGCCAAGCTGTGGCGCCTGGGTCCTCTGGGCTCCGAAGCTTTTCCCTCTCCGGGAGGGGTTGAGTCCCCGAATAATCCAGGGAGTATTCCATCATTCGACGGGTTTTTCTCATCGTTCCCCCAGGAGCTTGATGCCTTTGCGGCGATTCCTGTCTCCGAGGATACTGCAGCGCCACCCAGCATATGGCCAGTATCGGATACGTTCCTCTCAATCCCTGACAACACGGGCGCTGAATGGGGGCTTGGTGGGCCTTTATGAAGGTCGAATGAGTACCAGGTTGTATATTACCATATTACTATCTTGAATGGGCGTTTATCATATGGCCCCTACCACTACGAATGTTGGAAAGTAACAGCTTCTATTAGTAGCAGTCAGATATTGTAAACCCGCCACGGTGCGAGCCAAGGCGCTATGTTATAAATCGTATGATTCTTCGGTACATGAGGCCCCTTAAACGCTTAAGAGTATTCAGGTTCAGGGAACAGCTGTGTAGCCGGTGCTGTGTCGGATGGAGAGAGGGGCGGATTCTTGTCCGGGTACCGGTACCCGAGTAGTCCGGATTGGTTGACTATGAATTAACCCTAGTCAACTGAACTTCGGCAGTGCTCGTTTCAGGCATGCCCACGAGAGAAGGCTGAAAGTTTCTGCTGAAATTTGTACACTAGCTTATCAGTCGATCCTGGTACAGTGGAAATTTTTTCTTCGGGGTATAGAAATCAGCAGCAGCACGCAGAGAAATTGTGCGCATCTTCGGGATCGGTATCCGAACCCAACTGCGCGGGAAAGACTCCGATTCCGGGACCCAGCAAGTCCGGCATGAGGGCCCGAAGCACTGAGAGACCTCGCTTGGAGGTATAAGTGCAAGCAGTTCGGGGGAATTTGATCCACTAAGATCAATTGATACTCTTGTATATTCTTGGATTCTGCCATTACATTCAATCATGAAGTGGCTTACCGCAAGACCCTGTGCTCCCAAACTCACCATTACAATAAAGAATCCTAAGCCGATTTACACAACATGGGACCGGATTGAGGGCACAGTGACGGTGACTATGCACGATGAGACTGACTTCAACAATATTAAGATCACATTCGAAGGTATACTTTTCGTTCAATCCCTCAACTATTGTCCCAATAGCATCTAATATTATTCCTAGGTTCATCACGAGTGGCCTTACCGCGGCCAATTACAGAACTCCTTGAGCCTACAGCCTCCCACACATTCCTAAAGCTCCAACAACCTATTGAATCACCTATCCCGACAAATTGTACTCCTGGAAGACATCACACATACCCATTCTGCTTCGTGATCCCAGAGGACCTACCCCTCGGTTCCTGCATACACGAAAAGAGCAATGACCATGCCGATCATCGGCATGTTAAGCTTCCGCCAACACTGCGATTCGCCAATTTGTCTCAGGAACTTTGTCGGGTCGCATACTTCATTCGTGCTACGGTTTTCCATCATTCCCCTGACGGGATGAGCGAGAGATCAACTACTTCTACAAGGGAAATACGGTTTGTTCCGGCCCATCAATCGAACAGCCTCTCGAGCAGCCTTCAGAACTTCCTATCATTACAACACAACACGGAACAGCAAGCGAAGAGCATAGAGCTGCTTCCTTCGGGAAAACTGTATGTTTCAGGCTCTTCAACAAAGCTTCTGCAGAAGCACTGCCTTGAGAGCTCCCCAGACAACTCCTTCGACACTTATATTTCCATACCGCTTCGCTTCGAAGCTGTGGGAGAAGCGAAGCCTCCACAGTTAAGGAAAATACATTTTACGCTCAATGCGTCAACATTCCTGGCTACAAAGCCTAGTACCAAGTTTTTGAAGCCCCATGAGACACAGTACCGACAAGCACATGTTGAGCACATAGCGATGCGGTCAGAGAATTTCCCATCAACACAATGGGTTAGGCATGATCCCACCGACCGCACCACAAAGGACAAGAGTGAGCACCATCTATACTACACGACGTCCTTGATCGCCCCGATACGCATACAGAGAAACGCACATCTCATACAGTCATTCTCTACGTGTCTCCTCTCGCGAGCCTACTTCCTCGACGTACGTATAACGTACACTCTGCCTGGGACAGCAGGGGCTCGTCAGACATTGAAAGCTACGCTGCCTGTCGATGTCGCTGAGCCTTGCGATTTATACGATAGCAAACCTGCGATGCCGCTATGGGACACACTAGACGAGCTACACTCATTCAACTGGGATCCCGACCCGCCACCGTACTATGGTCATGAATTCTCGAAGCATGACAATCCCTTGAAGAAGGGTCACGAAAATGCTTTGTCCCAGTATCAGGTGACCTCTTGAGCAAGAAGCTGGAGAGACGCCGGTTATTGCTTATAAAACCAACAATGGAAGATCCCTATGGCTCTAGTCCCAAGTCAACCAAAATGTATATACTGCTATATAGGTCTGCTCTGGCAGGAATGCAGAATGGCCCACCAACCTGCTTTGTACATGTATCTGCTCGTCACTTCTCCAGACATTCAATAAATATGCTGTTGCAGACATTTCTGCAAGGTTAATGAAGAAACAAAAGTTAATGCCACTACTAATCCCGTTGGAGTATTCATAATCTATGATTCACATTTGGGACCGTATTAACCATGTTGTAGAGAATTCCCATACGGATTCAAGGATGCTTCACAATTCGCAAGATCGGGAATGCTCTCTGCTGTATTCACGTCTTCTACTCATGACTATAAAATCCCATGCTCTCCCTCCCTTCCTCCTTCTTCTCTCCTCCATCTTCCCCAATCTTCTTTCCACTCCTTTATGGGCCTCTCCCACAGCCACTATGAAGCAGCCCTCTAGAGCAAATCAACAATATGCCGTAAAAATAGTACTCAGATAGTGTACATCAAGATATGTCTAATCAATAATATCAACCGCCTCCCATATAGGGCCAATACCTACTATTTCGGACCATCGTTGCAGGCCGATTAATCGTATTAGCCTCCAGATATAATCTTGGACTTACCTACAAGCCAATCAGAAAGAGAGCATTAATCGCTCTATTCCCAGTTACTGCCCATCATGGCATTTTTCCCAGGGGCCAAATTCCAAATGCGCAAACCTTGATGACGATGATAGCCATATGTATCTAAAACGGGAATAGTCATCGGCACTAATATAGCACAAGCCAGTCAATAGCCCAATGCGCCAATCTATGACTATTACATAAAACGGCAAATAAGAAGAATAGTCGGTCTCAAAAAGTAGTAACTTACAAACTCAGGGCCGATCTGCCTTAACACTCGGTCAATGCGCAGGCTAGCCCACATGGCGTTCACCCCACGTCTAGAAACCTTTCATCGGCGAGTCCGCAGGGGGAAGGACTTGGCAACAGAACTCGCCAAGTATAATAACTGGAATGATAAAGGATTTGGATTATTTTTTCAAAAGACTAATCATAATGCTGACTGCTTACTGCCCTCCACGAGAGCAGGAATTGCATATTATCTCGCCCGTAGCTGAGTCAAGTTACGATTTCTGGCTCAGATTCTGGAACGCGAAGGAGTCTTTACGGCATTGAAAACCAGAAAAGTGCTCCTGGGTTTTATTATCTTTACAGAATGGCCATTGGTCTTGTGGTTAATCGAGATGTTTTTAGACGCATTGTGCGTCCCAGTCCTCCAGCTAAGGGCATCAATGACAGCAGAAGAACACGCCCGTGTCATTTCAGATTTCACATCTCCAGGTACTAATATGGCAAGGCTACTGACAGTCAAACCTCCAGACCGAATGCTCCCGATGGGCCCGGGAGGACTTGAATGCGGCCGTGCAAGCATTAGGGAGGGCCAATCGCACGGGGCAGAATCGCCCACAAAAAGCTTGGATTCTAACCCAAAAACGCTCCATCAACATGTTTACTGAAGCGAGAAATATGGTCAAGGCACTTCCACAGATTGCAGCTGACCTACACAGCGATCTGAAGGAAATCTTGGATGAGGATAATAGGAGAATCGGTAGCACACAAGCTATCAAAAAGCCTGGGACAAGAGAAACTAGACATGGACAAGGCAAACCTCGACATATTTCTCGAGACCATGAGTACTCGAGACACTGGAAGCAATAAAAAGCGACGGAAGAGGGCGGGAGACAGTGAGAGACAAGCCAAATGACATGTATCTCGAATCTAGAAACTGGTTAAAAATTTGCCACCAGATCTTTTTTCAGCCCCTGGGCAAAATCTTGCATGCTAGGAGATGAGCTAATACTACAGTGCAATAATCAGCACTGAAGCGGTCTTCCGTCCATACTGCTTACAGGACGTTGTACGCTGGTGTTCTCAATTTCAAGGGGTACAAGGTCAAAGACCGCATCAGGGGATATCATAACTAGCCTTCGGACGAGTTGGCACCTTGCTGCTATCAGAATCGATTTGCTGTATGAAACGACAGTGCATTGGAAGAAGGACTGATGACTCTCTAATGCGTCCGGGCAGTGGCCGATTTGTGGTAATTTCGACACCGCAAAGCTATCACCATCTCACCAAGACTGTCATAGATGATCAATAGCTGAAAGAACTCACCTAAGGAGCTGGATAATGAATATCTCCTTACTCCTCGTGCCCATGGTGTAAAGCCTATTCAAATCAACCATAACAAGGCTACACAGCACAGGGTACTTCGCCTGTTGTCACTAATATAATACTCCTTGAAGAGTCTTCACCGCCGGATAGCACAAAAATATAACAACCATGCTCTTTGTAGAGCACATCTCCAATGAATTAGTCAAGAAGCCTAATGACGCTTTGAGAAAAAATGATTAAACGGATATTTCAAAAACTCTCCAAGAGATCGATAACTCCGTCCACATGGGTCGCCCTACTTGATTAACAAGAAGAACTTACTTCAGCGAAAAATCCAAAAGACAAACCAAGGCTGTGGACAAAGCAGGCAAGTTTTCTGTGAGGACTTTCAGGCAGTCGAAGGGTCATGAACCAGCTCAGACAAACATGGTGTTTTCAAGGAATCGGCTAAGATTGTGAGCCCTTTAAGTGCTGTAAGACTGACACATGGCTACCAACAAGTGTTCGGCGCCTTAAAGTGACGCAATCTGGCTAGGTTTGATTGTCCAACAAACGGTCATTCTGCCTCCACTGCAGCCAGAAGAAAAATCACCGCACAATGATCCACAGCCTACCCAATCTGCAGACAGCAATTGACCAACTCACGATTATATATACATTGAAGACGAAATTATATAGTCTATGTGAAATGGCGCTGATTGAACAAACCGCAGATAATAACAAATATATTCTGCCTTTTGGGCGTCCTCGAATGACCACGAAAAACGCACGTCAGCTGCTGCTTGGATTAGTCTAATAATGTCTTCCAACATCCTCCACTTCTCTTTCAATAATGGACGATGGTAAAGCCATTGGTAAACCACATAACTCAGCCCATCTAGATTTAACCAACTTAATTCAGCATCTATGATATTGCCCATCAACACCATATACTTCAGGTTGAACGATTATTCAAGGTAGTTCTCGGTTTCTGCTGCCGAAGAGATTGCCGACAGTTGTCATAGAATGCCTTAAAACAACTATCTAACAACACATAGTATTATGGTGCTATGAAAGGGGCAATGGGGCATTGCTACCAAAGTTAGTGATTGTATTGAAACTGCCCATATATATCCATTTTCACTGGGTCGGAAACCTGGGCTTTCGAATACCAATTATTCTAGAAAGGACTAGCGATGATCTGTCCTTCAAACAAAGTCAAAACATGGGAGAAACTGACTCTAGAACCTGATCGTACGGAGATCCTCGAAAACCTTACTTCCACCGTCCACGGGATGTGGGGAATGGCAAACAGGCTTTAAGATGCCCCAGCTATCCAAAGATAAAAGAGCGCTGGCTGTGAGGTTCTACTGGCTCCAAGACTGAAGCTATGGTGTCTGGGATCTTCGAACACTCTCGCCAAAGTTGGTAAAGTCAGACTCATCAACCAACAATACCAGGCTTATTGACTGCGAAACGCTGGAATTAATCAGATCTAGGGATATTCTGACCTGGACAACAGATGTTCCTTATAATTGGCCGCGTTCTTCTGTCGTGTTATTGAGTATGCAATGGACGTTGATCCGGCTGATTGCTTTGGCAGGAACAGCTGATGAAAGAGATGAGAAGCCAATACCCGAGGATTATTTAATCTTGGAAAATCCAATCCTAGGCGGAAGCAGGGGTTAAGGGACTGGAGCTGGATAATAAAAATTACGAAGTGGAAAGTACTAACGAGGGTTAAGTAGCGGAGGATCCAGCGTTGTCTGGCTTTGGATTTTCGCCCACGGGCGAAAATAGACATTCCCATACAGACAACACAAGAAGCATCGAGAGAGTATTCCAAAGGGGGAAATTCCTAGAATTACAGAGTCGGGATATAAATGTTCATTAAGGTGGGTTCTAATAATCACAGAAATAATAAGATGAACACCCGTCTGTACAGGTATATCAAAGAAATCGAGGAATTATATTTTCTTGCACTGCAGCTTGTCTACGTAATATTAATACTGACTACATAGTAGACATTCTCACTTCGACGGCTGTCTTCTTGAACGGAAGTTAATTTTATTTAAGTCATGGTTGGTATATAACTAAAAAGAAACCATATTCAACCATTACAAGCCACGCATGAGATTTGATTTCTAAAGATAAACAAGATAATAAATTTCCTGAGCCAGATAACCCGAGGCCACACTAGTTTGCATTTCCCACTTACTAGACAACATTATATAAAAGAAATGGAGATCATTAAACGTTCATTGTACACAGAATGCCCGGAACAATAGGAACATTGACTCTAGTATCAAAGATCTCCCTTCATAAGGATAGCCATTTGGCCTAATTGATGGATAGCCAGAAGCTAGATGGGAGGCCATCTGCTTGTTGTAACCATGCTATGACTAACAAATTCAGCCAGTATAAGGGCCGGACTTACAGCTGCACCAAGTACCAAATAAGGCGTTCTATGTAATGATTCAGATTTTTCCATGTTCCGCTAGCATAAAGCAGGGTACAGCGTAGAATGAAGGCTAGTAAGTCAGGTGGCGTGACACTTCGGGTGTATCCCCACTCGGGTAACTGTACCCACAATATCCGGGTGGCGTAGTAGAGCGGGACGAAGAAAAAAAAAAACAAAAAATGGACTCGCCGGGAATCGAACCCGGGACCTCTCCAATGCGAATGGAGCGTCATACCCCTAAACCACAAGCCCGACTTGATGGTAAACTGCTTGGTCTTTTGCTTTATGACAATTGCTTTGCCAAGGTAGCCTGTCTTGCCTTTTCCGGTAACCTGGGCCCAGTGCTTACTAGATGAACTCCCATCATTTTGCGAATTTCCACCAAGAAGTAATGCTAGGAAAACCTTGATCTGCAAGGACATGTTTCATTGTGCAAATTCTTCTCTTTCTACTATTGAAATGACAGTATAAGTATTTAAATGTGGTCCACTAGTATTAGTATATACTGCCAGTCGGAAGGTTCCGACCTGCTTGAGATGCACACGGATTCTGTCTACTTAGTATCTAGTACTTACGCTCTCAATCAGCAATATCCTACAGGAACCAGGTAGCCTAGTAGTACGTACTTATCCCTTGCAAAAGGGTATTGCTTACTTGTCATTGAAATAATGGCAAGTTCTTTGTTCACATCAATATATATATCACACCGAGTGGTCACCCTCATATTCTGGTATTGACTAGGCTAGTAGTAAATACCAAACGAAGACATGTTCACAAGAAGGCGACAGCTGCATACATCACTGCAACATGCCGTCATGTGAAGAACCGAACAATGCCGGGAATTGTGACCGTGGTAAGCCGCTCCCAGCCATATGACATGGAGACTCAATGAGGCAGAGCGTTTGCTCTCCAATTGTACATCAGCATCTCTCATTGTCGCATGAGCGGAGAGGCATAATAAATCGGATTGTTGCAGAACAATATTGGATATGCCGCTATCTGATCTCATTGGCTGGAATACCACTATGCTGCAAGCCCAACTTGATGATTGATCAGTTTATCATTCGGCATATCTATCACTCACCCACTTATATATTTAGTATAGGTACTGCCAGTCATAGCCAGCTCGGAAAGACGGCGATGAGCGTGGTGATCCCCAAATCCTGGAAATAATACTTATGATAAACATGTTGATGCTGGCATGAGATTGTTTGGGTACAATTCGTTCCCACGGCTGTCATCGTTCTCACTTTCATGGAACGCATCTTGCCATCTATATTCTCATACACTATTCACTATCTTTACCCTTTACAGCATTGTCATGTAAATTTTGAAAGCAAGGATACTGCATATTGAAAATATATGCCCTGGTACGCCGGACCTTCCAAAATGTATACAAATTTATACAAACAAATCTCGACATCGGCGTCCCGCTATGTCCACAACTATACATGTCTCTCCACAAAGATATATACACGTGAAAAGAATGTAATATACAGCGCCACAAGACTATCAAATTGGTCCCAAGAGATCAAGCCAATATAACCGGACATTGATGGCCTACGTACCCATTCAATGTAGATGAATACTCATAGCCACTGGCAATGGCCAGTCTGCGTCGCATTACCCTATCCCTTCGCCACAGTTCACGCAGGAAATCGGCACTTTTCGAGAAAACGGCAGATTTCCATTCTTCGTGTATATTGTTCAGCTTTGCAACGATAATACGTTGATATGCAGAAGTTTTCGCCGAAAGACCCGCAATAACCAGCGGCCAGCACAGAATGTTGTGCGATGGTGAGTGGGGAGGAAGATGCTGTAAGTTGTTTATGAACTCCTCCATCAGGGAGTGAACCGTGTCGGTTTCATCAGATTCGTGTGTAAGAAGTGCTTTGATGTGAATGCGACATGCCAAACTGTACAGGTTCGATGTAATGACATCATTGAGATGCCCCTGATCCATACTAGGATCGATGGTGAGCTGGCTTTGACAGGCTGTAAGTTCTTGGTCAAGCAGTAAAAGCCCTTGTCGTGCGGAAGATCTATCGGCAGATATGCTAGATTGCATATCATGAGAAAAATGGCATATGCGGTATATGGCGATGAATAAAGACTGGGAGATTCCCATGATATGGCCGTGCTGAATATGTTGGATGATTGACGGGGAGGCAAAGATGCGATCTGCTTGTGCGATCAAGAGCTCAGAGCCAAGGGAGAAACGTGCTAAGGCGAAAAAATAGCAAAACATTTCGAATAGATATCCTCTCAAGTCGGTGTCTATGCTGTCGCAGCGAATGCGATTCTGCAGGAGAAAAGCCGCTGCATTGAGATGTGGAAGGATTCTCTCGCGGCTGGTAAAATTCTGAGTCTAAGTCTGTCAGTCTACTTGCTGGAATGACAACTTGTATTGAAATTGGTATACCTCATGTAGACATAGCAAAAGGACGGATAGCGGGGTGTAGTCTATATTCATATTAGCGGAAAGGCCGAAATGGAAGTGTAGGGAGGGTTTGTACCAGAAGAAAAAGCGTCAGACGACGAATCAAATGACAATTCGCTTTCAATTGCTCTTCTAAGGCTCGAGACAGCTTGTCCGTAGTATTCAAATGCGGCATGCTGTAGTTGTGGGTGGTTACCATAGTATTTGAGTAAATCCGCCGCAGCTATTGCCAGGACGCAACTGCGCACAACATGGCTCTTTGATAGAGCAGGAGAGAGCCATTTCATGTAGTCAGTCCGTCGAGGTCCAGTTCTAGTTGATAACCATCTTGGGCTAGCGTTGAGGAAGTGACGGAGCAAGCGGGAGACTATGTCGGGAGTTAGGACTGAGAACACGTTCACCATTCTTTGTGCCTGGTCAGGTAGTAGTTTCTCGGCGCCAGTCCCCCTTGCTCGCCGGCGTTTGGGCCATATGAGCGAGCCAGCAGACTCCCACTGGCATTCAAGGCGGTTACGTTGGCAGCCAGTGCAGGATGGGCGGCGCTCGTCGCATCTCTTTTTCCGCCGCCTGCACGTTAAACAGCCCGTTCGAGTTCTCAAGGAGGGTTTTATACAAGAATCAGTGGCCTTTAAAACGATCGTATCTCGCGTCATATTGTCAACAGAAATCCTTGAGTGACTGGCTGTAGCGGGAAGCCATGATTTCATACACCTCACCAGAGTCTGAATCTCGACCTGCGGGGTTGGCTTAGGATTTCGCGGAACAGGCACATGACCTCCTATTGTTCTAAATCTTCAGGTGACGTCGCCCGAGTCGGCCACCCTGAATGCCATACAAAAGAGACTTTTCAGATTACAGCCACAAGGGGCCCCAAAGTCTGCTATGGACTATACATGTCAGACAGATGGTAAACAAAATTATCAGTACTTTTTCCGGAATTTTTTGACAGCATGGAAAATGGGACGAAATGGCGTAAGGAAACCCAGACTATGACATTGGTATGGCTAGAATGTAAAACTATCTAGAAGTTGATGATGGATATTCTACTGTCTGATCTACGTGTCCACTGATCCTTATCATGTTAACCATCACAATCGTGGAGATATTCACATTTATGAAAAGCTTCTTTTGCAAGGCATAAGTTCTGTGGGTGGGCTTACAGCTCGGCGTGGTCTGAAATAAACTCGGCGTGGTCAAACGCTAAATACGGAACAACTCTTTTCCATCTTAACCATGATGAGGTCTTTATTTTTCATAAAAATTATATATTTTCAGTATACTGAAAATATGCACCATTTAATCCTAAGCTTAAAGTGTTCAAAAAAAAAAAAGACTCTCTAATAAAATATTCTAATAAATACCCCAAATACCCTAAAATCCCTAAATATCCTAAAAAGTTCTGATATATAGCTTATTATAAGCTCATCATGGTCTAAAACTAAGATTCTTGACTATGATGAGCTTTTGCTAAGAACAGGTTCGGCGTGGTCTGAAATAGACGGTAAGATAACTGGCAGAATGTTAGACCACGCTCACCTTTTTTCAGACCACGATGAGCTGCGACCCGTCTGTTGGGTGGCCCTTTCGGGCGAGAACCCCGTTATCTGATGGAGTTTGCGCATGGCAGATAAAGTTTAGTCTAACCAGATTCAGCTTGTAATAGCCGCGCTGGGGATTAAACAAACCGAATCACACACAAAATCCCCGGCTGTTATCTTTGCCGCACCCGTTGGACCCGAACGTGCTCTGTGGAAACAAGCATACACACGCAGAGGCTTGAGGAACTGTTGCGACAGTGTCACACTAGAGGTGGTGGAACAGCTTGCCCAGGTTCAAGGACATCGTACTACTGATCAAGCCTATACTACATGTGATATGTTTGAAACGACGACCGATTTCTGCTTATATGAAATTTCTATAATTGGTACAAATAAACTCGATGGATTGATTATCTGAAATATGATCATATAATCTTAGCTAAATGCTCTTCAGCACTTGCTTAAGTTACCTTTTTTACTAAGAAAGAATTTAGTAGAACTTGCCAAGCTTAAATTGTGTTTTGAATCGACTAAATTACATATACCCGTTCAGAAGTATACAAGAAGTGAAAAGGCATTCTAATACTGCCGCTATATGTATCCTCCAGAGGCCTGCAAAACTGCCCGAAACCCATTGATCCCTTCACCCTTCTAAAGCCCCAGGCAGACGCACATGTCCAACTCTCAGTACAGAGGAAGTTTGTAGGCGTCGAAGTCGTAGATCCAAGTGTCGTACGAGGCCTGGTCGAAAACGCAGTCCATGGTAGTCCCATTGTTGGACCAGAGCGGGCGAAGGGGCCATCCACAGATCTGCTGGTGCTCGCCTTCATTCTCTCCCTGGAGAACTGTGGCGTTCAGCGTCACAGGAACCACTCCGTTCTCCACCCAGTCGATCATTACGGCCATATTGGTTTGCGGGAAAGGTCCGTTCGGTTGTTCGCTGTTTGTGCCACAATGGGCCATACCGGGGACCAGGTACAGTCGGTAGAACTCGCCTAAGGCGGCAGCACTTGTGTTGAGAGACTCGTTGGGGAACATAATCTTACGTACAGCCTCGTAATAGTGGACAGACGAGGCAGTGGGCACACTGGGGTCCTGCTCGCCGTGGAAGTGTAGAATCTTGCCACCGGATTGCTGGAGGACGCTGAGATCGGGATTGTGAGTCATCAAGGTGTCCTCGTACATCGTCCATCCCATTTGCATCCAGTCGCGGATGGTGTCATAAGTAACATTGTCGAGCGTAGTCAGCGAGTCCACGTCCTGCAGGTTCACAAACTTCGCCACAAACTCGCCCCCGTTACCGTCAATGCTGAGGCCCCAGGTGCCGGTTTCCGAGTCGTAGGTTGTTTCGGCATCGTCAAAGTCTGCACCTGGTTGGAAGTACAAGTAGGCCTGACGGCCCTGGGTGTCTTTCAAGCCGGCAAGGAGTGTCTGAACCAATTCGACGGCTTCTTTGGTGACGGTACCATTCTGCGCGGGGGTCGAGCTCATCGACTGCCGTTTACTAAACCCGAGACCCAGACTGCTGCCTCCGGAGCTGGCTGCGCAGTAGTAGGGAGCGCCGATCAAAGAGGTGTAGTTGAAATGCAGCTTGCACAGGTCGGAGCGGGCGACAACTCCGTCTGCGCGGCCATCTAGCGGATCGCAAGCAGCGATGGTGGCGTTCACAATCAGCTCCAACTCGCAGGGTGGCGGGTAGTAATTCATGGTCTGTTCAACGACGTTGGGCACCAGGTGGTTGATTTGCTGATGGGCGAAGCGGAAAGCAGGCGCACCGACGATAATTCCGTCGTAATCATAGCCATACCGCTGGGCCTGCGACCAGCCCTCACGGCCGCCCTCAGAGCATGATTGGTAGTAGGTATAGACCTTGTCATCTCCGGTGTTATACACATTGCGGGTGAGTTGACGGCCGATCTCCATCATCTCATGGATACCTTGGTAGCCGAACATGAAGGTGTTTTGCCAGTCGACAGTGCCATTGGCGAGAAGGAAGACATCGTCAAAGGATTGACCATTGAACCCACCGTCGGTGAGGCCGGCGACCGCTCCATACATGAGGCCACCGGGCAAAGACCCAGAGGTTCCGGAGCCTTCGTTAATTTCATATGCCTCGCCGCCGGTGGTAAGGAACCGATTCTTGAAATCAGCGGGGGCGGGCAGCCAGTAAGTGAGGGCCACTCGGTCATTCCGACCGATGTGGGTGTAGTTGAAGGTGACATCACAGTAGCTGATGGTAGCAGCCGGATAGAAATTTGAGCTGCTGATGGACACATTCGAATGGATGGTAGTCGAGACGGAGCTGGAAATCATGGAAATGCCCTGAAAGGTGCCATCTGCAGGCAATGCGGCCTTGATATAGGCGTCGTTGCAAATATCAGAGAGGCTCGCGGCATGAGCAGCCCCTACTGCCGCAGCTAAGGGGACAAGATTTCTCATATTGGGGAAGATAGAATGAAGACCGACAGATTTGGAATGAATGAAGAAAAATGAATTTTGGTTCTGGAAAGGTTGACTGGACAGTTGCCGATGGGTTTCGCTTTTATGCCGCGAATTTAGAAATCGTTAGAAGATTGGACGCATATGCATGGATACAAGTACGTTCAAAACACGTAGGTGATGACGCATGCAGTCGCAGATTGATCGGTCGAGCCGTCTCGTATCAACAAGAAAAATCACGCTGTGGTATGCTTCACGGGCCTTTAATTGCCAGGGACTTTGCTATCGCCATTAAGCTTCCCGGGCCGCGAGTTACAGACCCACTGAGTGACGACTCCCCGGAGGTCGGAGGGCAAGATTCAGTTCATAACCGATCCTTGGGACTGTGTGTAGACCTCATGACAAGATGACCAAACCGAGTCTGTATATTACATTGGCAGATGCGAAACGATCGTTAGTGGCATCTACTGGTCATTTGAAGTGATATCTCACAGGCATTACCGCTTGATTTCATGGTAATGTCATGCGGGGATTGAGCAACTGAAAAGAAATAGAATATCTTGCAATACTAGTGGGCTGGAGAGGTCAGAGGTTCACTGATAACACTAACGACCATTATGCATATAGTCACCGTCAATAGCGCTGCGTAAGCTCCCGCCCTTCCATACATCTCCGTACTTTGCCCTGGCCCAAGGTCAATCTCCGTTCCTGCAGCAAATACGGGGCAGCGGGGCGGGATCGACCGTCTCATCCAAGGTTTGGATGCTCTTCTCAGCCTTGGACACTGACAGTCCGGCTCAAGTTTATTCCCCTGGTAAATTGCACACGTTAGTATGAGCTGCCGGGTGATAGCTTCGTGAAGAAGGCTTCAACGGCTCGGGACCTAGAGTAAGCCAGCGGTAGAGAAGGGTGGTCGAAAGGACTATAAGAGCCAAGTGAAGGCCGAGTTTAACCTTCGAATCAGACAGCAAGTCTATCTTCCGATTCACTTTGTCAGTACCGCCTCATTGAGGTCTCTACACAATGCTTCGCAATACTCTCCCCACGCTTTTGGGCCTGGCATCTTTTTCTTCCGCTGCGCTTTACGAAACCAAGATTGAGACCAAATATGGCTCAGTCCAGGGTTATCCGGCTTTCAACAGCAGCCATACCGGCAACCTGACGCACTGGAAAGACATCACTGTGTGGAAGGGCATTCCGTTTGCTGCGACCACCGGAGGTGCCAATCGTTGGAAAGCGCCGCAGCCCGCAAGTCCATGGAACGGAACGCTTGACGCGCGCAACTGGGGCCCTGTCTGCCCTTCCGCTACGACCGGAGATAACAGTTACACCATTGACGAGGACTGCCTCAATTTGAATATCTGGAGTCCGGCAAACTCTACCGATGCCAAGCTCCCGGTGGTCATGTGGAGTTATCCTGCTGAGTCTACTGCGGCAGACCCTCTCTTTGACGGCGGTGGTATGGCCGACAAGGGAATTGTCTTCGTCAATTACAACTACCGAACTGGTCCCTTCGGTTGGCTTGCTCACTCTGAGCTTTCGGAAGAATTTGAGAAGGTGACTGGGTCCAACAGCTCAGGTAATTGGGGAATGCTAGATCAGTTCGCTGCATTGAAATGGATTCATGCCAATATTGAGGCCTTCGGTGGTGATCCGGACCAGATCACAGTCCAGGGTCAATCGGCAGGCTCTGCGGCCACCCAGCATATACTTTACAGCAACTTGACCAAGGGGCTGATTGTTGGTGCTATCATTGAGAGTGGTGTCCGCGACCCCCATGACCCCCTTTGCACCAGCCTTGCCGAGGCTTATACTACGCTAGATGATGCGCTGGAGGATGGCAATACCTACCTATCGAATCTGGGAGTTTCTAGCATCGCCGAAGCCCGCAACCTAAGCATGGAGGCATTGATTGACGGAGCGACTGGGTCCACTCGCGAAGATACAATCATGTTCGAGGCAGTCCTTGATTATTACGCCATGCCAGATACCTACCTCAATATCCTGAAGAAAGGTCTTGCTCATGACGTCCCTGTCATCACCGGTAACAACAAAGACGAAAATGGCGCTACCTACGGTCTCGATATCTCACTCGCGGAGTATCTTGAGGATCTCAATGAAACCTACAGTGGGGAGTGGGTTGAGCGGTTCTTTGATCTCTATCCGGCCAATGACTCGACGACCGCATCAGGTGCATACAACTCTATGTTCACCGACCGCTCCAAGGTGGGCACTTGGCTCTGGACCCAGATGTGGTACACCAAGAAGAGCAGCCTGGTTTGGAACTACTTCTGGGATCACGCCCCCCCTGGCCAGAGCTCTGGGGCTTATCACGAGTCGGAGATCAATTACGTATTGAACAATCTCTATGCCACCGACAAACCCTGGACTGCTGAGGACTACGCTATCGCCAAGAATATGAATGACTACTGGGCCAGCTTTATCAAGACCAGAAATCCCAACACTCAAGCAGGAGGTGCAGTTCATTGGCCTGCAGTGAACTCATCCAAGCTGGTGCAGCATGTCGGCGATGGATGGGGCCAGATTCCGATCGCCTGGAGCAAGAAGGTTAAGCTTTTTGAGAATTGGTTTGCCACACTCGTGGCATACTGGATTCTGAGTGGAATGTCAATCCGCGTATTAAGAGATCCCGTCACCTGGGATCATCAGGTTGACGCATTTGCGCGGATGTGACCTTGGATAGTCTTTGTCATTTGCCAATCTGTGTCTCGGCTTTGTGTCTCTTCTGCTCGGTTCGTCGATGTATTCGACATTTGTTATACTCTTTCTGATTCTCTTTCTCGCCATCGCTTTTGTTGTAATCACTAATGGTCCATACCTTTCAATGAATCAAGACTCCATTGACCACCAACAATCATACAACCATCAATAACACCCCTTGAAGGAGAACTCCTAGGGAAAACAGATCGTGAGAGCAAGGATATGCCGATCACTCCAAAAAGCTCTTACGTAAATCTGGCTTAATACTACCAAGTAACTCGATCCTACATCTTTCTATTTCACAGGCTCCACCTGCTTAACAACCCGAGCAGGGGACCCCACAGCAACACTGAAAGGAGGAATAGGTTTTGTGACGACAGCCCCAGCCCCAATCGTACAACCTTCACCGATATGAACACCCGCCAAAATAGAAACACCGGCTCCAATCCAGCAGTCGTCACCTATAATCACCTCTTTCGCAAATTCGACTCCATTTCTCCGAGACTCGACACTAGTCTCATGCGTCGCAGCCAGAATACTCACATTAGGGCCGAAGGCGACACGATCGCCGATGATGATCAGGGAGCAGTCGAGAATTGTGGTACTGCAATGGTTAGTAAAATAAGGTGAGTAGCGGGGCAATGTCAGCATACTTAAAATTAGCATAGAACCTGTTGGAACGTAATCTCAGTAGATTACTAGTAGTCGAGGTCACGTGACCCGAACTCCGTAACTTCAACTGCTCCTCCGAGCGCGCCTAGATAGCGAAGAATCAAGCATTTTCAACGACTTCAGTATTGACCTAAAACGTCGTTTCAACAGGTTATGAGCCCGGCTCTTTGCTCGTGAGGTTAACTAGCAAAGATCTGAGCCATCATATACACGAAGTAAGCCGCAATTGCAACAGGGACATGCACCGCAATATCTCTATCTCAAAATACCAAAACACCGCGAATATCAAAATATTCAACCACCGGAAGCAGATTCCAGAATATCGCAACTAGGCAGATACTACTCTTTACAACATATTTCGAATATAGAGGCAGTAGCTATACAACTAAAGATATAAGTAGATAGACTTCTAGTAAAGTTACTAGAAGGCGTTCAATCCGTATCTGAAAGATTGAAAAAGCGAGAAGATTACTCAACGTGGCGCTTTGAAATATGTTAAATTCTAAAGAACGTCGGTCTATAAGATATGATTAATAAAAGTCTATTCTATTCTAGTATAAACCACACGAATTACTAGCTATGGTACCATTTATTAATTAATATCTAGTTCTAGCTAGCTAGCCAGCTGTTAGATCCTTTAAAAAAAGTACTGATGATGTCTTCTAACGCGCATGATTACGCGGACGATGCTTATAAAATCATCAAATCACTTGTTCTAGGCCATGGCCATATGCTTTACTAAATAATATACTTTAATCTTATCTATAAACGCCGATCCGACTACTCTACCGTTGAATAATACGTGGAGGCGTTCAAACACGTATATAATTTTGCTAAAGAATTGAAAATCGGGATATTACTATACTATAAGTTATTATATCTGTTTAAAAAGCTGGAATCAGACCTTCCAACATGGATGTTAATAGTAGAGTGCAATTTGCCTGATAATACTACGGATATTCTCCAGGAGAAAAAGTTTCTAGTTTATTATAGAACCGCAATTGAATAAGATAATAAATAAATATAAAGATATTTTTTCACTGCGCTAGTGAAAAATACTAGAAATACTACTAAGTTAGGAAGTACTACAATGATCTCAGAGTAGAAGAAATTAATATTTCTACTAAAAGAAATAATTTCTAAGAAATATGCTAGAAAAATATGAAACTTAAAGCTAAAGATGACTAAGAAATACTATGCTTTTTGTAAAATATTAGACTATGGAGTAATTATCTGCTGGCGTTTAAATCCTGATCTCCGGCTAGAGAATTATAGATCTTATATAGAAGACATCTGGTGGTTCAAAGGATTAAAGTCTAGCGAAGTATTAAATATAATAATAGATGAAATAGAATCTGATAACAAAAACCTGTATATTTTAAATTTTTCTGGTCTAGCTGTTGTAAATACTATGAACATCTTGCTATGCTGGATATATGATACAAGCAGCTCATAGTATCTAATATTTGATTATGCTTTTCTAAGTGGTTTCCATTAATTAAAATCCTATGAATACTACTAATATAGCACCTCGAACGGGGGAATTGGTGTTGTAAAATTAGTAAAATATCTAATCCTAATCCTAGCTGTAAATGGCTAAAATATAGTATTAAAGATTAAGATTTACTATTAATTAAATCTATCTTATGAGTTTTTTTCTTCTAACTACCTATGTACAGATCTTGGTATCTATGCTACTACTAAGAATCTGACTCTACGCAGGAACTGGGATGATAAGATTATCAGCTACTTATAGGTATCAAAAAACATGTTTTTTGTTAGAATAAAAAATCTTAATCTAGTACTAGTGGCAGTGGATCTCCTACTCTTATACCAGTGATACAGGCACGCAGGATTCCGCCGAATTACTACTACTGTAAAGAATTATTAAATTAAACTCAAATACAGAGATATTTTAAAATGCGAAGTATGCTTGCTAGGCAAGGCTATACATCTTATTTCAAGAAATCTAATTTTAAAGACTAATAATCCAACACAGCTCTAGTATGTAGATATCTAAAAGATGATTCTAATTAATTATAATAAATTCAATTACTTTTTACTTATAGTTAATAATGCTACTTGCTTAGTAAGAATGGCCATGTTTAAATATAAAGATAACATCTCTGACAAGCTGATTAGAATGAATATGGAATATAAGAATATAATTAGCTGATACATAGCTATCTAGTATCTAGATGATGGCCGCGAGTTCAACTATTTTAGAAAATAAGTGAATTATATAAAATAAGGTATTTAAATTAAAATATCATCTTTTTAAACACCCGAAGCTAATAATCTAGCTGAATGATATGACGGCTTACTTAACTGAATAAGTAGGATTATAATATTAGATGCTGGTTTTTTTATTCACTTCTAGTTGTATATTATATATTTCTCAGCGTAGATCCTGAATCGCCTCGTCCCCTACTACAGCGCTGTTAGAAAAACTTCTATATTTCTATACAAATTCTATTATAATCTCCTGAATTTTAACGCGTTATTAAATTTCCTACGCGTATTCGGATGTCGTGCCTACTAATATATCCCGCAGAAAGATCGAGTTGCATTCTAGAAAATGGAATCTTATATAAAAGTCAGATATTTTGTTGGTTTTGATGGAGACAACGGATATGTTTACTATATATAAGATTCTATATTTAATAAAATTAAATGATTACAAGACGTTAAATTCAACGAAGATTAAATTTATAAGAATGATAAGAAGGATCCCGGTGGAGTTTTTATATATAAATCTGATTCTAAAAAACTAACACCAGCTGGCCCAGGTGCCGTGTTCAAGTTAGACAACATATTTCTATATTAAATAATTAATATATTAGATAATATAAGGGTTCTGATTGAGCAACTAGACCTTGAAAAAGATATTATCTGAGATAGAATTTATATTATATTTATTTCCGCAGAGCCTCTACTTACACGCTTGATTAAGAATACCACAGAATATAAAATATTCTTAATAAAATATGCCGCGTAGGATTACCGCCTGTCGGACCCTACTAAGCTAGAAGAATAATCTATATTAAGATGCTTTATAAGAACTACTAAAAATAAATTATTAATATAACTAGATTATTAATAATTAGTTATAATTGACCGGGTGATTTTACTCCATCTCAAATAATATGAAGTGGTTGTTCCAAATATCTACAGCAAAGTGATGAAGTCCTCGCTGGCATCATATTAGAAAGATACTATGGATACACAGATTAATAAGATATAGAATATAAGTATTTATAAGATTATGAACTGATCTCTAACCGCTCATGTAATTCCAGGCAAGTGGGTGTATGATCTCAAGATTAATACTAATAGATTTGTTATCTAATTTTATGTTAGATAGGTAGTCTGCGGCAACTGCCAGATACTAGATATTAATTATAATAAATTATTCGCTTTTGTCGCCAGTGAAGCGGCCCTGAAGCTATTTATAACAAATATTATTATAAAAAATCTTAAATGGAAATAATATAATATAGTATCTACTTATCTACACGCACAGATACAGGGCAAACGTGTATTTATAAAATAATTTATTGAATACTATGAAAGATTACTAGATTAGGTATGTTTATTAAAAATGGCTTTCTACGGCCTCCGCCAGGCGGCCCATCTCTGGCACCAAATATTTAATAAAATATTTAAAAGAATTGATTTTGAACCACTGAGGGAGAATCCCTATATATATAAAAAAAGTAATATCTGGTTGATTATTTATGTTGATGACTCTGTTATTGCTGGCTCCAGGAAGGAAGACCTAGCTGAGGTTAAATAATATTTAAATAAGATATTTAGTCTGAAGGAAATGGGGGAACTAAAGATTCTATTAGAATATAATATTCAATGTAATTATTAAATAGACACGATATTATTATTCTAATTAATATACGTGGAGGAGTATCTTAATACAGTAAATCTAGAATTCTACACTCTCTCCGCTATTTTGATAACTGTTGTCTACAAAAAGTTAGATCGCTTGAATATAACTACTAAAAATATTAATCTAGTTAAATATTAAAGCTTTGTAGAGTATTTGAACTGGCTAACCATAAAGATCTGCTTTGATATATGTTATATAATATTTAGATTTCAAAGGCGTATGAATACTTCTACTACGGCCAATACTAAAACATTGAAAATTGTATACAAATATTTAAAAAGATCTATTCCGTACGGGATCATCCTCGCCACTAACTATATTAAAAGTATTGAAATCTTCGTAGATACCGCCCACACTGACCACGAAGATGGCAAATCAATGGAGAAATATGTTATTTTCTACGCTGGCGGCCTAATCAGCTGGTTATCCAGGAAGCAATTACTAGTTGTATTGTTATTTATGGTAGCAGAATACTGCGTGTTTGACTCCGCCGCCAAAGAAATCTTGTATATAAAGAAATTGGTTGAAGCGTTTGATCTCAAGATCTCTGTTGACGGTAGGATACTTTTGTACACCAATGCTGCCAACTTTCTACGGATTCTGAACCATGGAGGCTATACTAGGTCCATTAGATAGCTTGATAATTGTTATCTATTCGTAGCCGATCTGATCATGAAGAATATTATTACTATTTAATACATTCCAGGAACCACTAACCCGGCGGACGGCCTTACTAAGCCGCTTGATAATAAATTATTCAAAGTGTTCAGATATCTTCTTAGAATGACCTCCATCTCCTCTCCGAACCTGCATCCAGGAAATACCAGTTGAGATAGCCGTTTCTTTTTATTTAGGCAATGTCTAGAGTCTTATTACGAACACTCCCTCGCCTAGGGGGCCGTGTTGGAACGTAATCTTAGTAGATTACTAGTAGTCGAGGTCATGTGACCCGAACTCCGTAACTTCAACTGCTCCTCCGAGCGCGCCTAGATAGCGAAGAATCAAGCGTTTTCAACGACTTCAGTATTGACCTAAAACGTCGTTTCAACAGAACCCATCTCCAATCATGATATTGCACCCGTAATCAACCATCAGCGGGGGCTCAATGAAGGCGCCTCTGCCAGTTGCCCCCAGTAATTGTTTTAATAATTCCTCGCGCCGAGCTGTGAGATCTTCAAATGATATTTCGTCGGGAATGGGTGCATTGTATTTTGACATTAGCTTGCGGGCTCGGTAACGGCTTTGCATGAGTTCCGGAGCGAGGGGATCGTATCTTGACGATGTTAATTTGAGGATTTGGGTGCTGTGTTTGTCGGTATAGTTGCTCAAGACTTACAGCATTCCCGATATCATAAGCTCGTACTGTTCGCACCAAGGGGTGTTCGCTAGCGACTTGGCAGTTGCGATTAACTCAAGGTTCTTTTCTTTGGAGGGCTCCATGATGGGACTGGCTAATTGGACAGAATGACAGTAAAGTGATTGATTATGATGTGGTACTTCGACAGCTCAGGTGGATGGGAATATAACCCTGGTAGTATGTGTGACTAATAGCCTGGCAATGAGGGGTTGTGGTGTTGATGTAATGTGTTGTCTCAGCTGCAGATGCTTATGCAGAGTGACAGGATATTGATATAATTGGAGGATAATAATTCGGGGTTTTATCGGCTAAGACTTGAGCTGAATAGAAAATGATAAGAATGCATTCTCTGGTCAATAGGGATAGATTATTGGCCTGGTATGACGAGGATGGCATTGCTTCCTGTAATCCTCGTTGAGTTGATCCAGGTACATCAGTGGAACTCAGCTAGTTCCCCTAATAATTGTTATTCTACCCAATTATGGCCTTTCAGCGAGATAAGAATAATAGATCGCCAGGCGTTGATCCTTAGCCTTATACTATGAACCTGAGCGCGGCTATTAAATCGCCAAAAAGGATTAGCGTGGAACTGGGATTTGCGGACCGGCTAAAGTAATTGGACCACTAATATCAATCAACGCAACGTAACCAGTACTAGTAGTGATACCACGCAACCTGCTAACTACAACACCCAACGACACCTTCCAGGGCTCGGAGCGTGACGGTCGACTGGCCCGCCATAAGCGGGGCAGTCTGGAGCGTCGAGGAGACCCAGCGTGTGACGTGGATGCCTGAAGGAACCGTCCATTCGACTGCATCCGTTGTCCAGTTCATCGCAACAAGCCAGGTCTCCTTTCCATCCGCACTAGTCCTCGAATACGCGAAGACCAATTCGTTGTGGTAGTCCAGGTCCTCAAAGTCGCCATAAACAAAAGCACCCTTATGTAGCTTTCGGCGTTGCAATGCCTGCTGCCAGTACTGCCACACTGATAGTTCACCTTTCATTTCCCACGGGAAAGACATCTGTGCCTCCACATTAACTGTCCCATAGTCATCATTCACCCTCATCCAAGGTGTCGCATCAGGGACTGTGAAGCCCGCATGTGGGTCAGCACTCCATTGCATCGGGGTGCGGGCGTGGTCCCTGGCCTTTTTCTGCAAGAGCGTCCGAGCCTGGGCCAGGCCTTCAGAGCCAACAGGGTGGAGCTCTTTGGATTTCTTCCAGAAGTTGACCGACTCAATGTCCTTGTACTCGGTGTCGGGATCCCACTCAACAGGAAAGTTGCGCATGCCGATCTCCTGACCCTGATAAAGGAAAATGGTCCCACCGAGCGTCGTCTCCAGAAGGGCTAGTAATTTGGCTCCCCGGTCTCTGAACTCATCCGAATCGTTGGTGTACCGGGAGACCGACCGCGCCTGATCGTGACATTCCAGGAAGATGGCGTTCCAGCCGTCCCACTCTCTCATTCGTTTCTGCCAGCCGGACAAAATGCCTTTCAACTCGGTCAACTTCCAGTCGCGCAAGCTCCATTTGGACTCCCCTTTGGTTTTGATATCTTCAATTTCCATGTGATCAAAGTTGAATGCCATGTTAAGCTCTTTTGCCGTGGAGCCCACCGTCTTGATGATCTCCTTCATATCAGTGACGTAGGGGGTTTCCCCAACAGTGATGGTGTCGTACTTGGATAAAACATTATCGTAGATTCCGTGCATAAACTCGTGGAATCGTGGCCCATTTGTATAGAACTGCTCGCCGGGCTGGTATTTGGAGGCTGGATCGATGATCGGGGCGTCTGGGAAAGACTGGTCCTTGGAAATGAAGTTAATGACGTCCATGCGAAAACCACAGATCCCACGACGCAGCCAAAACTCCATAACCTAAAACCAAGATTGATGGTTGATCAGTAACACCACTCATTCAGACGTCTCGGAGTCGCGGGTTACGAGGATGAAGGGTCCCTTGGTGACCAGCGAAACTCACATCATAAACAGCGGTGACAACGTCTGGATTCTCCCAGTTGAGCTCTGCTTGCGCTGACGTGTGCAAAGTCAAATAGAACTCCTGAGTCTCCGCATGCCAAGTCCAAGCGCTGAGTGTATCGCCCAGGATCTGTGCCCAATTGTTTGGAGGAACTGGATTCCCGGCCTCGTCGAATCCCTTGGCCGGCCTCCAGATATACCAATCACGTTTTGGAGAATCTTTGGAGTTAGCTGACTCGACAAACCAAGAGTGTTGATCAGATGTATGATTAACCACCAGGTCCATCATGAGTTTCATGTCATGGTCCTTCAACGTTTTTATCAAAAGGTCAACGTCTGCTAAGGTGCCATACCGCGGATCGATAGATTCATAATCCGCGATATCGTAGCCCATGTCGACTTGTGGGGACGTATAGACTAGGGAAAGAGATGTCAGGCATTGTTCTCTAGACGTCTGCGACTATAACACAAATTACAGATTTTCACTCACTTGGACTAAGCCATACAATATCTACACCCAAGCTCTCCAAATAAGGAACCTTCTCAATAATACCAGTCACATCACCCCATCCATTGGTATTTGTCGTAGATTTACCGCAGTTGAAGCTTGCAGGATACACTTGATACACAACCGATTCTTTCCACCATTTCGGGGATGAGTAATTGGACTTGTTACACATGGTTGACATGAAGGTTTAAGGGGAACAAAAGCTGGAGAATTTTGTCAAGGGATCGCTTGGTAGGACTAGAGGAAACCAGAGAGGTTGGGAGAAAATTATGATTGCGGGGTTAGGGAAACGTACTTATCTAGTCCGTGGGCTGTATTATGTCACATCAAAAGACCCTTGCCGACTAAGTCACAGAGATGTCTCTGGCAGTGATTAGCGTCATCGGGGAAACTGGATTTTGACGCCTGTACACTCATTGCCCAGATTACCGCATGCTGAAGAATATGGAATGCATTGTTCCTTTGATCTCTTTGAACGATATTTACTATATATGCCTTTGCTGACTGTAGTTTGTGATTCCATCAGGGAGGAGTATCCTGATGTTGTCGCGAAAGGTGTCTTCGCAGTTACAAATAGAGAAGACGAAAAGGTATTTATGTTCGAGAGGCAGGCAAAAAGGCAAAGCTTTCAGGCAGTTCCAATCTTCACTGACATCAAGCAGGGGATTTTAGTCGGGAGTGAAGATCCGGTCCGGTTCAAGCAGCCGCTGAGCAATGCCGATGAGAATAGCCGCTTCTCCAGTCGTACGAGGGAAGGGCGTATCTTGTTGAGGGTAATAAAAGGACAGCATACAGTCAGTATGCCGATATTCATTATGCATTTATACAAAAGCGGCCATTTGGATCTGCTTCGTCACTGCTTATCCGGGTAGCTTATAGTGTTTCATTCAGTCTGTTATCAGGAAATACGCCGGTTTGTCTGAGCTTTGTGATCGATGTAGACGTGGATTCATCATAATATTACTTCAAACTAGACAAAGCAACTATTAGCTTCAGCAACGAGGCTAGTGAAGGAGAACCCTCAAGGCAACCCCCTTGTCAGTCCGTCTGCACCAAGCAGCCTGATAAGACCCAGCATAACCCTCAATGCCTCCTTCCGTCGACGGCAATTGCATAGATTGTAAAATTCCGAATGATATAAATCGAGGTTCTGGTGTGGGCGTTCGCCATGCAAGAGAGCGTCTAAGTAATTCCGATGCGGATCTGCCATAGTAAGCTGGAAATTCGTGCTATCCATAAAGATAACAAAGGCTCTACGAGACTGATTCCGTTGGTGTGCCCCCGCCTTCTGCAGCAATAACTGTGCTACTTGGTCCCTGAACTTGCAATCACCATCTTTAGCAACCTGCGAATAAGTTCAGTTTATATCGCACGCTTAGGAAGGGCCGAGACTGACTGAAAACACTGCCAGCGGAGATTGTGGTATAGAAGACTCGAGCAGCACCCCTTGACACTCGAGGCCACCCCGCATACCTGCCACTTCAAACGATATGGTTTGGATACATGAGACCCGTCTGGATTGTCTTAGTTTCACCATGTGGGGGCGAGCATAATCTGTTACTTACATAGGCTTGTCCAGATGCACGCGGCGCAAAATGATCTCAACGAAGCTCAGCACAGCTTGCCTGGACGCATCAAAGAAAACATCGGAATTGAGCATCTCGCAAAGAGGTTTGAAAACTGGTAAGAAGATGTTGCGTCTGTATCGGACACATGCTGTGCCACGAAGATTCTTTAACTCGTTTTCTGTTGGTTCGGCGAACTCCGTGACGAGCGATTCAAATTCTGCGATGTGTGAACAACTCCAAGACAGAGACATGAGCGAAGCGCGTAGAGTCCAACCTTCATCTCCATCCTTAGGAATGTGATCAACTCCAATGATTTCGTCGAGACTGGCGTTAAAATGCCGTTCGATTCTCAAGGTCTCAAGATGGTTCGAGGTCCAATTATCAGGAGAGTGGAATAATAGGGGGAATGGAGGCATGTTGGAGAGCGTGCTGATAATACTAGGAAAATGATGCAATTGACGCAGGGCGTGGATGATCTCCAATGTGATATTGAGCAGTTCTTTCTCGATGGGCTGGATCTGTCAGTGTCCTACTATTGGAAGGTGCAAACGGGAGAGGGCACCTTTATGTGATGCACTCCCATATTCGGTGTTGAGGGTGGTGAATACTTGGTGCAGGTGCAGAACCGGCATTTGGAGTGAAGGAAGTAAGTAAATAGCGTATACAAGTATAGTACATAACACAAGTGAATAAGCGTGTTGTGATTGAAGTTATGCCCTCAGGCAGCAATGTCGCACTCCATTTCCGGTTAGTGCTGATTCAGATCGGGATGCTGCGCATCTCGCACTTCATCGAAGCTGGACAGGACACAAATCCCCGATCACCATGAAGACGACCAGAAAGAGCACCCCAAAGACCCGTACGGGATGTACTACCTGCAAGTAAGTAGACAGACTTTGCATCAGGCATGTGTCTAACCCATCAGAACCCGCCGCATCAAATGCGACGAAACAAAACCGCATTGTCTGCGGTGCACGCGCTCAAATCGCACATGTGGGGGATACACATCGCTTGCATCCGCCCATGTTGTGGATAAAATTAAAGAATATAGCATCCCGTTTAAAGTTCCTGGCGGTAGATTTGATCGCCAGCTCCTCCATTTCTACTGTATCGAAGCCGCAGCGAGTCTTTCGAGCTTTTCCGACGCGGACTTCTGGAATCGACTCATCTTGCAGAGATGCCACCATCAGCCAGTGATTCGCAACGCACTTGTCACGCTCAGCGCTATTTATCGAGACTATAAGTCCAAAGAGAACGCTGGGTTGGAGTCCGACCGTACATCGCCGCAGCATCTGCAACTAATCGCCAGATCTCACAAGCAGCTAAGGATACATCTCTGTTCACCCGACGCGTCAACTGAAGTTGCTTTGATCTGCAGCATGATCTTTTACGCTTTTGAGGCTCTTCTAGGCAATGCCGTACAGGCGATCCGACATCTCGATCAGGGGCTGATCCTGCTGGAACGTTGTCAGGCTACAGCGCCCGTGCACCGCGCCACGGATGACATTTTTCCGCGGTTAACAGCCTTGTTCGCTAGCCTGGACATTCAGGCAAGCACATACACTAATAGCCGGCAGCCTATATTGTCACTTACTTCGCCATTGGAAAGGTCTGGGCTTGTCCCGGTCATCCCAGAAGGTTTCACCTCCGCAGATGCACAAATGTTACTCATCAAGTTGCAGAACTGGATGTTCCACCATCTTGCCTCTTCCCACCCATATAAGATTAAAGGCCTGCACCTTCTACCAGCAGATATCCTTATCGAGCGACACCGGCTATATGACCAATTGACGAAATATATAGAAACTGTGAGCGCGTGTTCGACCTATAGTTCTCGCCCAAGCACGGCAAATTGTCTACTCCTTCGACTCCAAGCTCGGATCTTCCGCACTATCCTGGCCGAGGATATTTCATCTCTGCAGGATAAAGATCGTGAGCCACTTCGAGAATGTTTACAAGATATATCGGTCATTTTGGAAACTATGTCCACGGTCTCCCCTGCACAGAATATTACTTCTGCGCAGAGATCATTCACATTAAGTACCCAGCTTGTCGCAGCGCTCTACTATATCTGTATGAAAAGCAATCATCCCAGCACAGTGGAGGCTGCCCTGTCATTCCTGCGACACGAGAAGCTGCCGAGCCGCGATGGGGTCTGGGACGCACGGACGGTAGAAGCTGTGGTGCATGGCATCCGACATTCCAGCAAGCTGCCTGAATGGCGAATAGGCAAAGATGAAGCTGCAGAATATCGCCTCGAGTATGCCAATGCGGATGTTGTCAACGCAGCTAGTGATGGGGGCGTGTATGAGATACGGGAAATACTGCGACGTAATGAGCAGTAGATCAGGTGTGGCGACTCCTCTAGCTTGGTGTCTAGGTCTTAATGACCCCCACGAGAGCTGTTGAACACAGGTGAGCTGGCCGCTCTTGGGTCCTCAGCTTCCGGGAGCGGTTCTAACCGGCTCGTGTCCGATAGACGACTTCCATGGCGCGATAGCGGGATGATGTCAACACATCAAGGCAATCCGGCTAATTTGCGTGCAGGGATCGGGTATTGGGTGGCCAGTCACACTCGTCGCCGTCGCGTCGCCTCACTTTTGAGTTACGCCATGGACAGATGACAGCCAGTCATGGCTGCCCTCTAAACCTAGATCGACACGGCTTTGTGGATGATGGCATGTTGTCCTCCCCGGCTTACAGTTAAAAGTGCAGTCCTCGGCATGTGCCAGCCCCATCAAACGTGGGGGTGACTTTGCGGGGATCGATTGCGGGGGATGGCCGCTACCCCATGTTTTAGTGTAGATTCGTTAGTCTCGAGCTTGAAGCTTAAAAGGCATGCGGGTTGGCCGACCGGAAAGCGTGGGGGTGTCGGGTTGACGGCGGGTTATTATGTCGAAGAGCTGCCCTTGTTCACCCTGCTCAGAACACATCTAACCAACAATCACAACATCTTCCTGACATGGAGCCTGACAAACCAGCCGCGATCCACGATGAGGGCACGGACGTGGCCAAGCCAACTACTATTGATGGTCTTCCGCATACGCCAGTCCTAGTGACAGAGGAAGATAGCAAGCGGATCGCCCGCAAAACAGATCGAACCATTCTGGTGATATTGATCTGGGTGTATTTCCTACAGATTCTCGACAAGTCAGTATTGGGCTTTGGCGCAACCTATGGCCTAGAGGAGGACACCCACCTCACCGGCAACCAATACTCCCTGATCGGTTCAATCGCCCCAATCGCACAGCTTGCATGGCAGCCCTTCTCCTCCTGGCTTATTGTGACCATCCCGCCTCGCATCCTGATGCCCACATTAGTGCTTGGATGGGGCATCGCGCAGACCTGCATGGCAGCATGCAGCAACTTCGGCGGGCTAATGGCCACCCGCTTCTTTCTGGGCCTGTTCGAAGCCGGCTGCCTACCACTCTTCAGTCTCCTTACAAGCCAGTGGTATCGTCGTGCTGAGCAACCCATCCGAGTAGCCGCCTGGTACGGCACGAACGGCGTGGCGACCATCATAGCAGCGGTGCTATCATTCGGCCTAGGACACATTAAATCCGGGGTGATGAAAGAGTGGCAAATGTGAGCCCCCCCTCCTTCTTACCCAACGTATAATTATCCTGCAAACTAACCTCAACAGCATCTTCCTCGTCGTCGGTCTCATCACCATCATCTCCAGCCCATTCGTCTACTGGAGGCTCGACAACGACATCCCGTCAGCACGCTTTCTCACCGAAGAAGAAAAGCTCCAAGCGATGGAACGTCTGCGAGCGAACCAAACGGGCGCTGGATCACGCGAATTCAAAATCAGCCACGTCTACGAAGCATTCCTTGAGCCCAAAACCTACCTCTGGGCCAGCATGGCCCTCCTCCTCAACATCGGCGCCTCCGTGTCAAACGTCTTCGGCCCCTTGATCCTCCAAGGCCTCGGCTACGACACATACACCACCACATTGCTGAATATGCCTTTCGGTGCCGTACAAGTTATCGTCATCCTGCTGGCCAGCTACCTGGCGCAAAAGGCCCGTCTCAAGGGCATCATCCTCGCGGCGCTAATGCTCCCCGTCGTCGCGGGTCTGGCTATCCTGTATGCTGTTCCACGGAACAGCTCCACCAACGGCGCCCTCATGGCCGGATACTATCTCATTGCCTTCTTGTTTGGCGGGAACCCGCTAATCGTCAGCTGGATTGTCGCTAACACAGCCGGCACGACGAAGAAATCAGCCAACATGTCATTATACAATGCTGCCGTATCGGCCGGGAATATCATCGGCCCTCTGTTATTCAACGAGAAAGACGCGCCGGCATACAGACCCGGATTGCGGGCATGCGTGGGGATCTTCGTGGCGTTGATCGCAGTGTTCCTGCTACAGTGGGCGGATCTGTGGGTATTGAACAAGATGCAAGAGAAGCGGCGCGTAAGGAACGGCAAGCCCGCAAAGGTAGTGGATGTATCGATGCAGAGCGACCGGATGATGGCGATTGAGCAGACGTTGGAGGCCAATGGCGAGGAAGGGCATGTCGGGGCGAACGGGCTGTTGGATCTGACGGACGGGAAGAATGAGGATTTTGTTTACGTCTACTAAATTGATCTTCCATCGTGACCGTCTGATTTCAATTCTAAATTACATACATACATACATTACCATCCCA